CGGAGCAGCTGGTAGTTTCGAACTGCTGACCTTGCGGTTCACAGCCCGATTCGTAACCACTACGCTACCAGAGCTCCTTAATTATCGATAGGTATGAATTAATTGCTGCCATTATGTTACTTTTTTGGTAGTACAGTTCGTTCCTTTCTTCTGCATGCCTTCTTGTGCTGGGTTTGTGTTTTTTTGCTCTATTTCTTGTCAGTTTCATCTTAGTTTTCATGTTTCCTTGTTCTGCTTGGAAGTTCATTTTCATGGTAAGTTTTGAAGTGTTAATGTTCGTTGGGGTTACCTTATAGTCTACTAACTTTGCTCTCCATTTAAGAGAACCTATTATATCCTGTAATCTACCTGATATCATCTCCACCTGGATCTCTGTTGCTATGTTTATCCTTTCTTTGACATTGATATGATTTTGATCTTTGGTTGACCTCCCAGCTCCTTTGAATTCGTTGTTGTAGTTTTGTTCTGTTCTGGACTCTGCTATCTGTCCACTGAGTTCCAGGTGGTGTTGCCACACCTGTCATTCTCTGGTTGTTGTCTGTTCTTGTTGGTTGTCAGTCCACAGAACTCCCTTTAGGATGTTTTGAAGTGCTGGATTGGTTTTGATAAAATCTCTCATATTCTGTTAATCATGGAATGCTTTGATTGCACCATCATATTTGATTGATAGTTTTGCTGGATAGGCGATTCTTGGTTGGAAGTTTTTTTTTTCTTGTAGGGTTTTGTATATGTCTCCCCATTGCCTTCTTTCCTGCATGGTTTGTTCTGAATAGTCAGAGCTTAATGTGATTTGCTTGCCTTTATAGGTGACACTTCTCTTCTTCCTGGCCACTTTTAGTGTTCTCTCCTTGTCTTTGATTTTGGAGAGCTTGATTATTATATGTCTTGGTGACTTTCTTTTGGGGTCTTTCCTTCCTGGGGTACGTTCAGCTTCTTGAATGTTTATCTTCTCATCTTTCAAGATGTTAGGTAAATTTTCTTCCAGAGGCTCTTTAACTATCTCCTCTGTGTAGTTCTCTGATTCTTCCTGTTTTGGAATGCCAATAATTTTTAAGTTATTCTTCTTCATGTTATCCAGCATGAATTTTAGACTCTTTTCTGATTTTTTAAATCCTTTTTTCAGCTTGCTCTTCTATCTTAGCAGTATTGAGAGATTTGTCTTCCAGCTTGCTAGTTCTGGCTTCCATCTCTTCTGTTTGGCTCCTTTCCCCTTTCAGTGTATTGTCCATTTCTGCTATTTTATTATTAATTATCTGGACCTCTTTTTTGCAGGTTTTGAATTATTTCCAATGCTTTATCAATCTTATTTGATTGCTCTTGTAGTACTTTCCTGACTTTGTCCTTGTTTTCTTCCACTCCTTTTCGGAGCATTTGAATTTATTTCCATATCATTCTTCTGAATTCTTTCTCCGGCATATCCAAAACCTGTTCTTCCTCTTCTAGAAACTTTTGTCTGTCTCCAGCTCATTTGTCTCAGCTACTCTCTTCTGTTTTTGGACATGTTTTGATATCTTTTGTTGTTTTTTGTTTGTCATTTCCAATAATTATATGTTTTTTTAATGCTTAAGTGGATGCTTGTTTTGTGTTATTAAACTTACTGGGTGTCTCCTGGTGAATATGATCAGGAGATAGGCTTCCTTTTTCACATGTAATGTTTAGCAGCTGTTATTGGCTCTTGTCTCAATGGTGGAATATTATGGGGTATGCTTGTAGCTTGGCTATATGGCCACAATTGCAGTCTCTTCTTGGGTAACATAGGTAGAAAAAGCTCCTACCTCCAGGAAAAATGTGTGGCCAAAAGATCCAAGAGTAGAAGCAATATAAAAACAGAGACAAGAATCTCCACTTTGAAACAAAAAATTAAATTGTATGTGTACCATAGAAGCCTCCAGAGGTGGGTTGGGCTGTCCACTTGCTCAGGCCCTTCCCCTAGTCACCACTGTAGAGGTGTGCAGATAGATATTGAGAAGTTAGTGGAACAAAGATTGTTTACTATTTTTGTCTCTGAAGGTCAGTTAAGTAAGTATCTGTGTGTGCATAGCATAATTCTTGAAATAGTTGTGTCTTTTTATGTTGGGGTTTTACAGATTGTTCACATGGTTTGTCTATCTGACCAAACCTGCTTTTTTTCTTTCTGGGTTTTTGTTGTTGTTGTCAGGTGCCATCGAGTTGGACCCGACTCATAGCGACCCCATGCACAGCAGAACGAAACAATGTTTGACCCTGGGCCAACCTCACTACTGCTGTGACACTCGAGTCCATCAGTGATGCCACCTGGCCAATCCATCTCTTTAGGGGTCTTCCTCTCTTTCTCTGATCCTCCACCTTACCCAGCACTTTCTGGGTAGGCAGGTGTTAATTGTCCCACACAAGTTAACGGCTGGGATCCACATGCAGAAGTCAAAACCGCAGCCAAAGGATTTGCCCTTGGACTGATGGGGCTCTTTCTATCTATGCTGTGGGAAAGCTGTGGTCTCAATGCTGGACTTTTTTGGCCACTGCACACCCACCTACCTTAAGGTGTCTGGGCTGGGCAAAGAGGGCACGACAGGAAAGAGGAGGAAAAAAACATATGAAATGCTTCCATACCTCCTTTCACAAATGTTGCTTCCCTGCTTTTAGCGCAGCTTCCCTTTGTCATTCTGTCGTAGTCCTGCCGTCTGACTTCTGCCTGGGCAGGATGGCCATAGAGGGAGTCCCATGCCAAATTCTAAAATGCAATGGTTTTCTTTATACCATGATTTTTCCACTTGAGTTTATGGGAAACTGATGCCCAGACCCTTATGATAGATCCAGAGCTCTGGTGTAGTTTCGTGAGAGCTGTGTCCCTGGGTTTTAAGTCCCTCCCCCACAGAGCCTGTCCTACCTGACTCTGTTCTGCTGCCGCCAACCAGAAGTCCCTTCCTCTAAAGTGTTTGGATACATTTCATTATCCTTTTTCTGTATTCTTTCTCTGGTATTTCCAAAGCCTTCTCTCTTTCCAATACTGAGTCTAGGTCCTATATCTAGCTCATTTGTCTCAGTCACTTTATCTTTTTTCTGTACATGTCCAGAGATACTACTGATCTGTTTCTTGGACATATTCAGTAGTTAACTCTGACCTTAATGCTTAGATAAGTGTACGTTGTGGTATTTTATTAAGCTTTCTGATTGTCTCCCTCGTAGATGTGATCAGGACATGGGCTTCCCTTTTCACTCTTCTTCATAAAATGCATTAGGAAAATTTCCATCCTCCTGTATCTTCTGGAATAATTTGAGTAGAATTGGTGACAGCTCTTCCCTGAATGTTTGGTAGAATTCACCAGTGAAGCTGTCTGGGCCTGGACTTTTTTTTGGTTGGGAGTCTTTTGATGACCTGATCAATTTCTTCTTTTGTTATGGGTCTGTTCAGGTTTTCTACTTCACTGT